CAGCCACAGTGTGAAGGCTTCCAGAGGACTTGGGGTGAGTGCATGTAGGTGCTGGGGTGAAGTCAGCATCTCTCTCCCAATCTCTGTTCTAGGCTAGTGATTACTATTTAAAACTATGAAGGTCATATTCTAGGCATACGATAGAATTAGGTAATAACAGTAATTATCTTGAGTGGCTCTTAAATGATCACTGCTTAAAGTTCCTGAAGAGAAATTCTGAGTACTTTTTAATAACTGCAGTCTTACCAGATAAACATGAAACTTAGCGCATGGACAGAGATGAGAGAACACCCATTTCAGAGGTATTCCTTAGCTGCATGGCTTGACTGCTTTCCTCCCTCCCTCCCTGCCTTCCCCCTTCTCTCTATCCCTGCCTTCCTTCCTTCTTTCCTTCTGTTGTTTGACACCATTTCTATGGAGATGTGAAGAAATATTTGTTCATCCCAGGAAGAGAATCGGTGACAGCCAAAGTAACGAAACCATCAAAGTCCAGATAGCTCCCCTGAGCTCAGTGAAAATGGAGGACTCTGTTTCCTAGCAGGGCTTCCTCTTCTCTACCTTATCTGGGGAGCCCGACCCCCATACTCTCTCTATCTTAGGAAAGTCAGGCAATCCTTGACTGAAATCAGAGGCTCAACTTCCTGGAATGGCTCTCCATGCAAATGAGGTATCCCAGAACCTTCAAGAGCAGCCAATGAGACAATGTGCCTCCTGCACTGTCACCAGCACTTTGCCAACCTTCTGAGGTACGTATTGTCAGGTCTCACATCTCAGTGTGGGAAGCAGAGGCCAGAGGATCTCACAGTGGCCCTGGCTGAGCCTGTGAGCTCCAGGTTCAGCAAGAGTCTCAAAAAGCCAGGTGGAGAGCGATTGGAGTCTGCCTTCCACACGCACGTGCATCAATACCAAAGTTTCACTTCCACACACACCTGTACACACAGATGAACATGTACACACACAAACAAATTTCAAAAGACATACACTTTCCCTCACTGAGGTGGGCAATATGGAGCAAGATATTACTAAGAGTGTATAGCATCTTCTCATGGGGCTCGTGGCCGACGACACTCTATGTCTCAGTTTATTTCACCACCCTGGTACAGTGGTGGGGAAATCTGTGCACAGAGCACTGTGTTCGCTTAGCATGCACAACTGCTTGTGTACATATAAATTAAGTCTATGCAACCAAAACCCAAGTCTTTCAGCCCAAATATAAGTGGAAAGAAAAAAAAGAGAGATTAGATTAAAAGATGCAGGTTTTAGCTACAGTGTTAAGAAAAAGATTAGATCTGGTTTCAGATACCATATATATATATGTATGTATGTGTGTGTGTATCTGTGTGTAATAGATATATTACACACACATATATATATATACATGTATATATATGTAATATATATTACATATATATTACATATACACACACACACAGGTACACATACATACATACATATATATACACACACACATACGCACACCTCTCATGTATTATTGGTATTGTAACTATTACTGGAGTTTTAGTTCCAGAGAAAATTTTGAGAAAATGATGTTTTATAATATATTAGAACTTTCATGATTACGAGATAAGTGATAAAATGTGTTGTGGGCTGGACGTGGTTCTGAAACTAAAGCCTGTGTTATTTAAGAAGAATATTGATGTTGCATTCATTGCATACATATTCTAGAAGACCCCCAAAGGAAGAGCTTTCTCTGAAGCCTTCCTTCCACCCCTGCGGCTTTAGCTGCACCCCATCTTCCTTCTGTCTCCCCTGTAGAGATTCTCCTACCTCAGGCAATTACCTGATAATTACCATGGAAGGTACACTGCCTCCCCACCCCAACACCTTCATCAGCCTCCTCCTTAGCACACAAACTTACTGAAATATCTCCCTGATGGGTTGGGGGAACAACACCAACTTAAAAGGAACAAAGGTTTTGTTTTGTTTTGTTTTGTTTGCTCACAGTGTCAGAGGCGTCACCATGGTCACTGGGCCCTGTCGCTTTGGGTCTGTCATGGCAAAGTCTACCATGACAAGAACTTGAGGTAGGCAGATGCAGTTTCCCACACAATAAAAAGTGAGGAAGGGCAGGTTCCCAGGATCTATGCCAAGGGCACACCCCAGGGACACAGCTTCCTCCCACTATGCCTCACTTCCTACAGGCTCCACCATCTCCCAGTAGTGTCAAAGGTAAGAGACAATGTCTTTTGACACATGGACTTTTAAGGGACATTTAAGATTCACGCCATAACAAGAGAAGCTTTATACTTCTGTGTGGTTCCATTAGCCATTAGCTATTTTCCTTTTTGCCCCGTTTCTTCAGATGGAGGTGGTTCCACAAATCTATTTACTTTTATTTCTTGTGCACAAGTGTTTGGCCTACATGTATGAATGTGCACCATGTGTGTGAAGTGTCCACGGATGCCTTCTCACAAGCTGGAGTTAAACATAGGTATGAGATGCCCAATATGGGTTCTGGGAATTAAACCCAGGCTCTCTGCAAGAGCCATCTTCATGGTCCTAGGGATGTATTTGTTAGTTTTTTTGTCAACTTGACATAGGCTAAGCTCATCTGGGAAGAGGAACCCTCAATTGAGAAAATGCCTCCATAGCCTGGTCTGCGGATAAGCCTGAGGGGCAGTTTCTTGAGTAAATGATTGTTGTGGATGTGGCAGCTTACTGGGATGTGGCACCTTCCCTGGGCTGGTGGTCCTGAGTTCTAATTAAACAAACAAGCAGAAAGCAAGCTGAGCAACTCATGAGGAGCAAGCCAGTAAGCAGCATCCATGGCTTGTGTTTCAGCTCTTGCCAGGGCTTCCCCACTGATACATTGTGGCCTGAGAGTTGCAAGATGAAATAACCCCTTTCCTCCTCCAGCTGCTTTCGGTCATGGTGTCTTACCAAGCTGTAGAAGCCCTAAGACAGCCACGCTGACAGTGTGTTCAACAAACAAGTATTTGATTTTTCTCTGCAGAATTCCCCCGTACTCCCTTAAATCTGAGCCTTGAACTTAAAGCCCACCTGCTGCAGTCCCTCAAGTAGCCAGGCTCAACTAGTCCCACTAGGCCCAACCAGGAGCTGTGCTGTTAATATGGATCAAGAACTAATTACAGGTAATCTGCTGGCTCACTGTGATTCCTGTTAGATTCATGTCTGCTGGGCTGTCCATGTCAGTGGGAATCATGTTCTGTTTTAATACCAGCTTTTGTCTGTTTCTTCTGGAATTTCTCATAGCCCTGTGACTGCAACCCCGATGGTGGCCTTCCTGGGCTGTACTGAGCCCCGGGTGAGTGCAGCACTGTTCAGACCATCCTGAGTGGAGACTGAAGTGCTTTGAGTTCTGCCTCTGACTTACTGACTTTAATCTGTGCACTGCATTTTTCTCACTGGTGTACAGAAAAAGTGTAAGGCAAATGTTGAGTCTCATTGAGTCAGTGCCTTTGCAGGCACACAGCAGACAATCATTAGCCTGGATTCTGAGGGAACAGCAGGAAGTTAGACTCGGACATCCCTACCTAAGAACGGGCATCCTTTATTATCTCCCTGAACATCTCGGCTACATAATTTCCTTTTGAATAAAGTTTCCAAATGTTAAAATAGCCATAGAAAAGGAAGTCTAAACTCCCCATGGAATTGGGTGTATTTCTTAGTAGTTGCACACTGTATTTTGTCCTAAATGGTGCTGCATGAAAGTATGCAAAAATGTCAATAACCAGGTTTACCCATCTCTTCTGAGCCTTCTGGAGGGGACCAGATCTCTAGCTATCTGCCCTAGCACATTGCAGATGCTAAAAGTAGCCCTTATAGGTTGCCTGGGTGCAACTGGCCATCTCTATCCAGTGTGTCAAACACCCCCTAGACATTTAGCCAAAGTGTGAAGATTCACTGGTAGCCTCAAAGACACTATTATAATAGCTTTTAAACACAGGGTGGTGCCTGCCTGTGATCCCAGCACTTGGGAGTTGGAGACAGGAGGATTAAGAATTCAAGGTCTTCTATGGATATACAGCAAGTTTGAACCCAGCCTGGGCTGCATAGGACTGTCTCAAAATACAAATGAGGACAAAGAGCTTTTTAAAACAAACACACGTGCGAGGTGTCATCACTAGCCCAACCTCTCTACGAACAGTTATTCCATTGTTAAGTTTTAATTAATTCTTATTGTGTGCAGCCCAGTGTATGATATGAGAGTCACACGTGTAGAGGTCAGGGAGTCAACTCTGAGGAGTCAAATCTCTGTGGACCCTGAGGCTCAAACTGGGGTCAGCAGGTTTTATCTGCTCCAGTCACCTCACTGCCCAGGAACAATTATTTTGAAAGCAAGTATCTCAATAAGAAAAAAAAGCTTTTTATTTCTCTTTTCTGTTTTCTTTAATTTTTTCCTGCTGCTTTTCTTTTCTTTTCTTTCTTTCCTTCCTTCCTTCCTTCCTTCCTTCCTTTCTTCCTCCTTTCCTTCCTCCTTCCCTCCCAACTTCCTTCTTTATCCCTCTCTCCCTGCTCCCTCCTCCCTTCTTTCTTCCTTTCTCTCACCCTCTCTTTCTCCCATGCTCCCTCTCTTCCTCCCTTCCTCCTTCCCCTTCCTTCCTTCCTTCCTTCCTTCCTTCCTTCCTTCCTTCCTTCCTTCCTTCCTTCCTTCCTTCTTTGCCAGTTGGATTACAGATTTTTTTTTTTAAGCTCAATTTAACTTTTGTCAATGACTCCACAGCTTTTAGTGTAGCCGAGCCCATTTTGGATTCAGTGATCTATTAATTAAACACAAGCGGTTTCAACATTCATCATCTTGTCTTACACTTCCTGGAAACCAAAAAGCAAAGCAGGCTGGCATTCCCATCACACAGGCCCTGGGCGCCAGGTCCCTGTGCGTTGGCAGTTGGCGACCCCCCTCGGGCCCCCCTCGGCGGCTCCTGACTTGCCAATGTTTTCCACTTTTGCTCAGCCCAGTCTCAGCAGACCAGGCAGGCCCAGCTCCGCGGCCCAGGCGCAGGCACCACCGCGGGAACATGGGGCGCAAGCCGAGTCCCGGGACTCAGGAGCTGGTGGAGGAGGAGGCACGGACCTGCTGTGGCTGCCGCTTCCCGCTGCTGCTGGCACTGCTGCAGCTGGCGCTGGGCATCGCGGTGACCGTGCTGGGCTTCCTCATGGCGAGCATCAGCCCCTCCCTGCTAGTCAGAGACACTCCGTTCTGGGCTGGGATCATTGTAAGCATCAAGTCTGTTGGGCCTAAGCACCAGCGGGCATGCCAGCCGCATGGTGGAGTGGAGACTAACCCAGATGCATGCGCCCCTCACCCCGGCTGCACCCCTAACTGCTTGGAGACTGACTGTGGGCACACTTAAGCTCCCCCAAGCTGGATTGGGCACAGGATTCTGGCCTTCTCCTGCCTGAGGCTTCTCACTCCTCCCAGGGCCCTGCCTCAATCTACAGGGGATGCTCTGTGGACATCTTGCACAGCCTCAAAGACAACTGCAGGCCCACCCTGTGCGGTTTGGTCCTTGTCCCATTCCCCAGGCCCCACGCCTGTCTGCACAAGTAGCACAGAGTGAAATTCATCTTGGGAAAAGCAGGGTAGGAAATCCTTAAGGTGGAGTCGACACACTGGTTTTGTTAAACTACATTTCCTCGTAGGCTTCGTGAAGTCGCTTTCTAAGGCAGGGCCGGAAAATACAGCAAGCACAGTCTAATCACACAGAGTAAGGCAGGCTGAAGCTTTTCTGGCTACTGGAGTGCATTTGGGGTTGTACTAATGTCGGACGTACAGTGTTCTGAGTTTGTGCGTGAATTCTTGACAGTAAAATAGTACGGAATACCTACTGTATGCCCGTCCTGCCAGAGATCTTCCCCGTGTTTGTACTGCCACACCTTATGGGACAGTCCTCAAGTTGGAGAAACCAGGCTGGCCCCGCCCAAGGTCAGAAGCTGGGAAAGCAATCAAGGGCCGAGCTGGCCTCTCCGCAGTCGCATTCTGGCTATTCTAATACTTTATTATCTAAGGCCAATGCTAAACTCTCAGGCCATCTCATTCGACCCATGCAATGGTGGGGTTGCTAAGATAAGGTAAACTATGTCATCCTCAAGCTCAGAGGGTAAACGTGGCAGAGTCAGAAGAATGAGCATGGGCCCTTGGCTTTCCATCTCACCTCAATCATTACTGTTGCTGACCACACACACACACACACAACATAATTTTGTATGGGACAGAACTTGAAGACACCTGATGCATATGCATAGGCGCAGATATTTTTAAATTAAGATTATTCAAACTCACAAATCTTTGCAGAGTAATTTAAAATGTTTAATTTGTGTACCGAGAATTCCCTTGAAGTTATCGTGATTGGAGTTTTCTAAGCCAAATGATTTTTAAAAATAACCTCCCACTTAGACATACTGGATATTTTAGTCTCCTCGATGGCTGTCAACATTTTCCGGGAAAAATATCTGTCCTTGAAGGCCAGGGAAAAGGAAAGAGCAAGGAATGGAGCCGGTGTTTTGAATACCAGCTTTTATTTTAACTTCAAGAAGACCAGTTCCAAAGAAATGAATTCGATAGGGGGACAAAGCCATGTTTTAATGTTTAAGGCATGACACACAAATCCTGAAGCTTCAGGACTCAAAAGCTCCTGCGAGATTCCTGGTGGCTTTCTGGGTGTGGCATGAAGAAGAGCGGACACAGTGAAGAGCTCTCTGGTTTTTTGCTTCTTCTTTATTACTAGGATTAATTTGAAGTTCACCCATAGCATGTGGCCCTGCTTGGCTTTCCTTTCAATAGAGAATCTGGGTAGGATAGAGATCTAGCAGAGACTGCCCCAACCCACCCAGGGAGGCTCCGAGAAGCCTTGTGGGGCCATGTCTCATCTCAGCAGAATGAGGGCTGTGGCAGTGTTACTGTCTCTCAGACACAGGGTTCCTGTGCTTGTCTGACCACAATGTGGTTGGTCTCCAGACACTCTTCCAGGCTGTCAGGAAGAGAGAAACAGATGGTGAAGGCAGGTGTGTAAACACCTCACCTGGTGCTGGGTCCTGGCTTAGATGTTATTTACTGAATAACTGTGGGCAAGTTATTTAATGTCTCTAGGTTTCAATTTGGGGGTGGGGCTGGCTTTGTGTGTGTGAGTGTGTGTGTGTGTGTTCATGAGTGCATACATATGTTGAGGAGGAAGGCATTGCACTTATACCTGGGAGGTCAGAGGGCAACATTGTGACGTCTTTATTAATCACTTCTCCATTTTGTTTTGGTTTGTTTTTTTTGTGAGACAGTCTCTCATTGAACTCAAATGGGTTAGACTCACCAAATACCAAATGGGCTAGATCAGCTGGCCTTGGAGTTCCCAAGATGTCCCTGCTTATGGAACAGGTGAGGCCACAGACATTTGCGGTCAGGCAGATCTTTTTGGCTGGCTGCTGGGGATCAGAGTTTGAGTCCACATCATCTGTGCACCAGGTGCTTTACCTGAGCCATCTCCCTGGCTCTGCTTTCTATCCCTTTATTGATTAAATTCCAGCCCTCAGGTTCATCGTGAGGAACCAACAAGTTACTATGTGTAAAGCCCTTGGCACAGTGCCAGCCCATAGTTAGCAGGTGATGATCAACCTCCTTGCTTTAGCTGTTAGGCGAACAGTCGCTGGTGGCGGTCTTCCTCAAGATTGGAGCAACTCTGGTTCATCTCCAGGGTGGCAGAACAGTCCCTTTTAAATCCCTGTGTTTTACAGATCTCTTTGAGTCCCAAAGGAGGTATCGGCTTGGCCATCTCACCTTTCTCTGTTTCCAGCCAAGGCAGCATTTAGCAAACTCAGCACCGCGTGACGTTAGCCTAGTACGTTCTGAATCTCTCTGGAGACTGATGATAATGAATGTGGAGAATCTCCCAGGCGTCATTTTCCGTCTTGGAGGAGTGATTCTAGTCTGGTATATACTAGGGGACCCTGAAAAGTTGCCCTGTTCGGAAGGCACACTACAAAACCCACCGCTGAACGGAGCCACGCCCACTTCCCCCGAATTCGCGCAGTGACTCCCGGGTGTCTCATCTCTTGAGGATCCGTTCCAGTTCTCAGACTCTCTTCTCTTACTAACTTCAGGTGTGGATAGTGATATTTCTCTAACACAATTTGGATATCTGGGCAGATCCACACAGATGGGCTTCTCTTTGGCCGGAGCCTGTGTAACTTGCTCCGTGACCCTGTGCTTAGAGACAAAAGAGGCCCTGGGTGATTTATGCTCAGAGATTTCAGTCCAGTGGAATTGTGGGAAAACAACTGGGTTACCTCCTGTCCTCTCCTGTGACTGTCCATAAACATGACGCTACTCATCCCGAATTGGGCAGACGGCCGGAACCTTTTTACTTCAGTTACCAAGGATTTCTGTATAAGAAAGGGAAAAGTTGGTTGGAGCTTCAGTGGAGACCATGGCATTGGCTCAGAGTCCTCAGTAGATGACAGAGGTTGTAAATCATCAATGTTAATAAGAACATTTCTCCTCGATCTCTCTGAGGAGAAAAGGACTGCGGGGAACTCCTAGGAAAGAGGCGCTCCTTCCTGGCCTTTCTTTACCTGTTTAGTGTCTGAACCAGCTCATCATTCTAGATTTTAATTTTATGTTTGGATTTTGAAGCAGAGTCTCATGTATGAACTTTATGTAGCCAAGGCTGGCCTTGAACTCCCAATCCTCCTTCCTTCATGGTCACATGCCAGAGCTGTTTCAGTTCTTATGCAGCGAAGGAATCCAAGACTGTGGTAGTTCTAAATTAGATGCCTTGGGCTTATTTTTCTCTGTTCAGTAACACTTGTTAGAGGTGTCCGCATGAGTCTAAAATGTCATTTCCACAGCTCGGGGAGATCTCCAGCTGTGACTGACTGGGGCCTTATCACATCTGACAGTAATGAACACCACCCATTAGAAAAGTAACCCTGGTGTTTTCAGAGCCCCATTCACCTCTCAGAGAGCCCAGCAATGATTTAATTCCTTTGGCATCTCTGTCCTGAAGTCAGTTTCAGAGCTTGCTCTCCCTTCTCAGCTCCCTGAGGATTCTGTGATGCTCCTGTATCCAGGGCCGAATTGCCCTGTTTGTATCCACTTGGTATACGTGGGTGGGGAGAACTGACAAAGATCTTCCTGCCTCTGCCTCCTGAGGGCTGGGATTACAGGTGGGTGTAGCCACACTCTGCCTTCCGCTGTGTTCTTTAGCTTCCTACCTCATCTCTCCGTCCATTGTCCCCATGTCCAGCTCACTGGAACCCAAACTCCTAGATTTGTGTCATGGCGACCATGTCAGAGAGTTTAAAGCAGAAGCTTAAAAGAAAGGGAGCCATATTTCCTGTATTCAGCATCAGTCGTGAAACTCACAGTACGAATCTGTGATGATTAAAGTCCCATCAGGCACTCCAAGAACAGTGCTAGACGTGGTGGTACATGCCAGTAATTACAGCAGTCAGGAGGTTGATGCAGGAGGATTGCAAGTTTCAGGCCAGTTTAGACAACAGGATGACACCCTGTCTCAAAACATGTACACAAAGAATTTCTTCTTCTTTGTTTTTTTAGTAATGTATTTATTGGGAAATGCACTTTTTTTTTCTTTTCTTTTCGAGACAAGGTTTCTCTGTATAGCCCTAGCTGTCCTGGAACTCACTCTATAGACCAGGCTGGCCTCGAACTCAGAAATCTGCCTGCCTCTGCCTCCCAAGTGCTGGGATTAAAGGCGTGCGCCATCACCGCCTGGCAAGAATTTCAATATGTCTTTTAAATTTCAACATTTCAATTTCAAATTTCTCTGAGGGATTAGAAATAGAGGTGCGTACAGAAAAGCTTCAGATCTGGTTGGAGAGGGACACAATGGTGTAGACGGGTTGATTGTCTATCTCAAGAGAGAATTTTATGCACCAGGAGCCTTGCAAGAATTTACTGTGAAATTTACAAGTAGATCTAGAACACATAGCAAGTAGGGCTGAAGGTATAGTTATCAGTTATGATTTACAACTAAAGGAAGCTGGACGAACAGAAGGCTGAAGTTTTCATCAAGTCGGAAAGTTAAAGGTACTGTCGATTTCCACATAAGAGTTTTGACATTTTGAAAAATTAAATCCGGAATAATATTTTTAGGAACACACCACACAGTAATTCATTGTTTTTTATATTGGGACTTTAATATGTGTTCCCAAACTCAACACAGCACCTCAAGAACCACTGGGAAATATTTTTTATTACATA